AAAGAGCCAACGAAGAAATCAGCCAACTCTATGCTTATCTAACAACCTAGAATTTTTGCATTATTTAACAAAGTGAAGGAAGGGAAGGTGATAGGTGTCTCCTTATCCTTTTCTTTCAAGAATTTACCAAAAAAAAAAAAAAGTTATTAACCTAATGGTTACAGGAAAAAGAAGCAGAAGGATCTCCGAGTGGATCAGCCAGACTGCAGACAGATTTGATTTCGAAAAGGATATGATTTCTAATGAGCATGGCTTTTTCCTGTGCTTTTTCACATTGTCCTGAACTATTCTCTTTGTTCTTCTGGCAGACAGATAAGTTTAGGAGTTAACAAGCTAAAATCTTGTAGATGTTTTTTAGAACTGTAACAAAGGCTACTCTGGATCCTCACAGTTCAGAACCACATCTTCCTATTTTTTGGAGTTCCTTGCTCTGCGCAAAGAAGCCTTTGTCCAAAGATGATCTCTCAGATCGTTAAATCCAATAAATTTCCTTTTCAGGAAAAGGAATACGTAACAATTGCGTGTATGGGGGAAAGAATAAGTGCTAATTAGTGAAACAGTCCAAGAAGGAAGAGGAAAAGAGTTCTCAGGCTCTGCCTAGGTTGATATTTACAGGTGTACATTCCCCAGGTATTTGGAAGGAGTAAGCAAAGGAAAGCTACTATGGGTACCATGTATAGTCTCCAGAAAGGGAGCCTCTAGGCACTTTATGCCCCTGTCAGATTGCCCCAGAATTTTTAAAATAGCAAAGCAGAGTGACCGTTTCAGCCTACCATGAACATAAAGGCTTGAAAATTATCCTCATGCAGTCATAACTTATGTATTCTGTAATCTTTTTCTTTTTTTAAAATATTTTCCAGCTCTGAAGATTGCAGTTGTAGATATTTATCATTCCAGGTTAAAGGAAAGGCAGAGAAGAAAAAAGTGAGTTTTCAAGCAACAACTGTGTTCCTTTGCTTCGTTACCATGTTTTGTTCCTCCCTGTTTTCCTGTTACTAAACATAATTGATTTCCTCTAGCACCCCTCCAGCCCCTCCCCATGCACAGAGACCTCCTGCTATCAGATTTGCTTCGTCTTGGATGTGTGGTTCTCCTGGGCACAGATTAAGATCAGGCTTTAGCAATGGTACCAGCCCAGAAAACACTGATCAACAGACCATGATACTTATTTGTACACATGGTTGGCAGAGGAACTCTCCTTTAAACTCTCAAAACCAAATCATTAATTGTGAAAAGTCTATTTTCCAGACCTTTTTAGTGCATGAAAGTCATGTACACAGTTGTCTTCACATTACCCTCCCAAATCCATTTATACTTAATAGCTAAGCTTCTAGCACACCTGATGAGATCACGGAGCCATTTTGCAGAATATGAAACTGAAATACTACCTGGGAAACCGGTCACAGATCCAGGACTAGGAACCAGAAAAAAAAAGAAAAAAAAAGGCAAATTTCTGGTTTATGTAATGCTAATGGACTGCACATAATTCATTTTCTACTTTAGAGAAAAAAAAAAGGAGCTGCCAGTCTGTGACTCATTGCTAGACCCCCCACTTTCTTCATAGAAATGGTTTGCATCGTTATTTTTAATTCCTAGTGGTCTATAAGTTAGTTTTCCACAGTGTGTAATGAAGATAACTACATTGCTGACGTGAGTTTGAATAATTTATTCAGCTCATTTGACAGCTTTTTAGAATGACTCAATCTATTCATTAAATTCAATTTTATTATAACTTTCAAATACTTTGTTCAATATTTAAAATTATATCTTGCTGTATTACTTTCTGCTGGAAGAATTAGTGATTCGGATTAAGACTCCTCCATTCCTTCTCATAATACAGCATAGTTCTGCTAAATGACAGGTAAAAGTTGATATGTATTGACCTGGTTCTTTCTAATTCATAAATAAAATAATATTGATGTGGTATAATTTCCATTATGATAAATCATGTCATACTAAAAGAAAGTGCCATGAGGGTCAGTTACATAAATCAAACCAGTGTCAGTTTTTGAAAAGTTTCTACAGCAGGATGGGCCAAAGATCTGGAAAATGATATAAAAATGCTGATGTCACTCTCGGAAAGTCTTCTCCACATGGGACAGGAGTAGTCTTTTATACACAGTAAAGAAAATGTAATGGAGTTTATAGAGCAAATTCCAACTTGACTTTGAGAAGCCCAGCTTTGTAATATCTCTTATCATTTGCAAAAGTCGGGTGTTTATTGAATCACCACGTAGCAATGGCCACATGACGTTTGCTGAAACCTGTCACAAACCTATGTGTCACGGACTTCTAAAATATCTTACCTGCCTTCTCACTCTGCTCATTTCCCTCGCCCTGTCAGGAACATTTCAAACTTATGAGTTACCTAAATCAGTTTCCTCTTTTAAACTGTCATGGAAAAATTCCTTCCTCCTGCTCCCCGTGGTGAAATTTACAGTCCCTCCCTCACCCCTGCTCCAGCAGGAGGACGTTTGTCTCTCTGAAGCTGGAAATCATTCTCCCTGAGACATTCCTGTACCTCCAGTGTTGGGAAGACCAGTTGCAAGACACTGTAGATGAGAAATCTGTGCCTGAAGAAGCAATTTCAGACCTTTAAAGTGATTGTAGCTCCCTTTGTGCTGAGTGCTGTCAGCACTGGGCTAATGCCCAGCACTACCCCACATTCACCCCTGATTAAAGCCACGCTGCGTCACCACATCATGTTTCTCAGCTGGCCAGATCAAGGGTTATGGAAATTTCATATGCATTTAGTTTTAGACCCCTCTGATGGTCTAAATCAAAGTTTCTTCTGAAGCCTTTGTATTTATGAGCTAATACACGAGTTAATGCCTTCTAGTAATACCATTTTGCTCTCAATTACAGAATCATACGAGATCACGGCCTAATCAACCTCAGAAAATTTCAGAGTGAGTATCGGGTGTAACTGCTTAACTTTAAAGCAGCCTCTACTCGGGAAGCAAAACTTTGCCTGTTCACTGGTTCCAGTGCACCAGTGTGGTTTGTTCATACTGGACCATACTCAGATGGTTGGAATTCCAGCAGATTTCCTGCCCCGACTGTTTCCAACCAGCTGGCTCTAACTTCTCCCTGCTCAGTGTTTTAGTAATTGCCTCAGAATTGCTCTTCAGAAGCATTTTGGGCTCCACTGAGTAGGGAAAGAGGTGAAGGAGAAACCTAGGCCATTGAAGTGCATCTCACTATTCTAAACAATGATCAAACAACACTTAAATATCATCCTTTTTGCCTTTAGAATTTTAAGGGCTATCTAATTTTGTTGCTTTTTACTCATCAGTTTGTAGTTGTGACACCAAAACGGCCAAGAAGTGAACCAAATGTGGATCTTTGGGCAGTTCAGAAGCTGGCAATTAGTTCAGGCTCCACTGAATTTATTCTCACAGTAATTGTGGTAACGTGTGTCACTTTTTTCCCCCCTCTAGTTTTGGAAAGGCGATATCCAAAGGAAGTTCAAGACCTTTATGAAACAATGAGACGATTTGCACGAATTCTTGGACCAGTAGAGCATGATAAGTTCATTGAAAGCCACGCGTGTAAGTAGTTTGAGGATTTTAGCATATACGTCCCTCAATAAGCATAATGAGTGGTTGCATCATCTACAACCTTTCCTAAATATATACCACTCCAGGAGGTTGTTTTTCTCCTCCTCCTCCATTTCCCTCCCTCAGAAAAACAAATACATTTGTGGTTTGATAAATTAAATGAGCAGCAAGTGGGTTTTTTCCACTAAACTCTGTCTGAGCTCTTTGTTTGATTTTTCACTTGACTGAACATTCTGGTCATGTGTTAGCAGTAGTATTTTCTTATCAAAAGACCACTATTCATTTACTGGGGCTCTGTAGCACTAAAAGAACAAAATCCCTAAAATTTATGTCTGTGTTGAGAAATTGGGTGCTGACAGCAAATTGTGAATTCTTTGAAAGATACATGTTAAATTATTATATGTGTACATAATTATATGGTACAGCTGTCATTATGTCCCTTACCTTAAAGGGAGAGGCATTGTTCTGTCACCGAATCATCTCCAGTCTTTATGCATAATCACAGCACCCACTTAAGCAGATTCCAGTACGAGTCATTACATCCTGCTTCATTCTCTGACTTGAACTGGGAAAAATCGTTGCTCATTAGACAGAACAAAGCATTTAAACAAGTTGGGACTGTATTTTCAGGACACCCTGTGTGAAATACCAGAAGTATGACCCTGCAGAATCATGAGGGAGCATGATCATGTGAGCATTAGCCCTGGAAATTAGTTTTGTTGTTGGAGTGACAGCAGAGTCCTCAGGCTGACCTGATAGTCAGGTACACGCGTTACACACAGCTGAGTACAACGAGTAAACAAATTCTGGACAGGCAAACCTGCCCACTTTAAAACTAAGCACTGCCTGAAGCCAGCTGAGATAAAGCTACCGGCTGTGAATGTCGCTGAGCAAAAGACATATGAGTATTTAATGTGACTACAAAAAAAAGAGTCATTGGCCAGGAAAAATTTTGGACGGTCCAGCTATGAAAATCACAATCCAAAGACAATATTCGATGCTATAAGGAGCCTGGATGGAGTATTTTTTCAATGCCTTCCAGAAATCCTACATTATTATTTGCCTTGTCCAGAGTATGGCAAAGGAACTGTTAAGGCATGAAGAAAAAACAACTTTTCTGAGCACACGTATGCTAGAAACCACTTTTAAATCTGTGATCAAGGAGTGTTAGGACACGGAGTTTGAGCCCTGACCCAGACTTGTGCAGGGAGGTTAACCCTGGCTGTGGTTCTGTAGGCTTCAAAGCCAAACTGTGCAGACAAATAAGAAATCACAACGTACCCCACAGCTCACTGCCACCCCCGCTCACCCACATTTGTTTTCTGGATTTCCCTTCTGCTTCCTCGTGGGGTGACACAGTGGAATTTGAGCTGCGAAGGGAAATCAAGCGACTCCAGGAATACAGAGCAGCAGGAATCACCAATTTCTGTAGTAAGTACCTGATGCATTATTCAGCCCGTTCCCATTCATCAAGGCGCGGAGGGATGATTTTACAACACTGAGGATGCGTCGAGTAAAAAGACACTTTTTTTTGGAATGCATTTGCCTAGCTCTTTAACTGAACAAGGCTTCAGCAATAATGCTTCAGTCCAGCTGTGCTTTTTTAAGCCATGAGCTTGGAGAACGCGCTGTCTAGCAGAGCTCTGCTTTACTCACCACTTCGCAAAAGGTTCAGAAAAAAAAATAATAAATGTATGTCATGGCCCAGTGGTCTCCAGAGCTTTATCTCTGGGCACTTGAGACTGGTATCAAGAAGTGTGATATCTGGAGAGAGGGCTAAGACCTCCACATAAATGAAATGGCCTGTTTTATCCTGGAATGTGTCACGGAAGCCTTTTTTTTTTTTTGCTTTTGGCCTGAATTTAACAGGGGAGGGGTGCGGGGTGGAATCTAATACATTCTCATGCCAAGTAGTTGTCATGAAGGAGAATAGCAGAGCCCAGTCCAGAGCTAGAGAACAGTTTCTCACTCACAAGAAGCAACAGTCTGAAAATGTGGATAGAGGCAGCTGGCAAGAAGGTGCTCTGTGTTTGCTGCAGGTGCCAGAACCTACGATAACCTGAAGAAGACGAGAGACGAGGAACGCCTGAAGCGCACCATGCTCTCCGAAGTCCTGCAGTACATCCAGGACAGCAGTGCCTGCCAGCAATGGCTCAGTCGACAAGCTGATATGTAAGACCCTGCATTTTTCATCCCCCTGCTTTACTCAGGTGCATACCAGCAAATACAGTCCCGATTTATTACAGTAGGAACAGGAAAATTCAGAAGGGCGAGAAACTCTGGCTAACAGCAGGAGTGCCTGTTGAAGTGCAGGCAAGAAAATAACTAGTAAGGGCTCAAAATCTGTTTTCTGTAGTTGATATTTCAGGAACTTAACTGCTGTTAATGAAGTCATGAAGGAAAATAAGGTCTTTATGGATATTAATGAGGGCGCAGGTGACACTTGAAATGTTTCAGATGATTTTAGATGCAGCAGCATTATTAATGTGTAGTCACCCTGCTCAAGCACTTTGATTTCAGGGGCAAGTTGCAACGCAAAGGAAGTGCATCCTGTAGGCTACGTGGTCTGGGAAGATGATTTGGAATGTCCCCAGTCAGTCTCCACTGAGTTTTTTATTTTGTCCCTCCACCCCCTTTTTCAGACATGGACTTCAATCTGGGAGTATACTAAATATCTAGAAATTCAGTTGACTTCAGATCAGGGCCTGGCTTATGCAAGTTGAATTGTATAATTATTAAAAGTTGGGGGAAAGGTAGTTTCGGGGCCGATATAAATGGTTATTCTTAAAAAAAAAAAAAAAAAAAAAAAAAGACATAAAGGCAATTTGAAAATTTCCTTTCTTTTCAGTGATTCTGGCCTGAGTCCCACGGTACCGGTTCCTTCAAATTCAGGTAACTGTTAGATGATGGTCTGTGATAAAAAGCCAGCCGTACGCCAGGGATACTGTTCTGACAGCCAGCTGGAGAGAGACTCTCTTGCTGGAGTGCAAAAGTGTCAGCCCTCAAGCCTCTTGGTTAGAGCACTGCTCAAGTCAACACATTCCCTCAGTCTGCAACTCACTCCACATCCAAATCCTGTAGGGTTTCTGCTGATTTTCTAGATTTTTCTGACTACAGATGGAAAATTCCATCCTAAAGCTACATTAACAAGGCAGGGAAGAATTTTCACATGAGAACAAAATTTTATCTTTAAAAGATAAAGCTAATCCAGTTTTTTAATGAAGCCATGTAGCACATACTGGAGCAATATGAACCTGACAGAAAGCAGATTTGGGAGGGCAGAACACCAAAAAACAGTTGTCAGAGAAGCAGGCACTGGTTGCAGCATCAAGCAAGTGATAGAATGAGATGACACAGGTTGCCTGTGCAACTTCAGTTTTCCTTTTCTATGAATATGTTTTTATATTCTTGAATTCTGTAATTCAATCACAAATTACGGGGGGTTTTTTCCATCAAGAAGACCCCTACTTCTTTCAGTGCCCAGTAAGGACAGATTCAGGGGCCAGTCAAGGCCCTCGGGAGCAAGACTCCTATAAAACCCCATCTCATGTTGAGGTGACAGGATGGCACGCAATGAGTCAGACCAGGATAAAGTTTTACTATAAGGTTGTTAAACATTGCCAGGAAAACTGGCTTCTAGCTCTATCTCTGCATCCAGTTTTTATGTGGATGCCAATAAACCACTCAACCAAACTTCTCAGAGGTGGCCACAGAGTCTATACGTTCTTCCTCATTTCTGCCAGGAGGCCTGGAAATTTGGGTCAGGATACCAAGCAATTAGTTGTTGCAGAAGTCAATAGGCACTATGTTTTAAACATATTTGGTGGTAGCTAAGATGTGGTGCTCTGGAGAGAAGACAGCATTGTGTATCTCAGGCTGGGCATGGAATGAAGTCCATGAAACAGGGACAATATCCCCTCAGCTGAAGGGCTAGTATAAAGAACGAAATTACTTTTTCATTAAGAATTCCAAGTGAAGGAGAAGAGCCCAAGAGAAGATGAATTGTTTTGCCTGTGGAACTCAGATAGCATGCAGTGTTTACAACCACTGCCACATGTTGAACAAAACCCAAACAAAATACTATATAGTCGGTAATTAAACAAACATCCTGCATACTGAATAAGGCAAGGATACTGCGGAAAACCTGCCACGTGTCTATGTAATTAAAGGCTGCATCATACTGAATATACAAGAGGGCAAATTAGTGTTGCTTAACTTTACTTCTAGATTTTGAGATCTTGACTTCGCAGCCTGGCTCTGTTTTCTTTTGTGTGTGTTATTTCCTAGGTTTATAAAACAGTAAAACCAAATTCTGTCATGCCTCACCATAGCACATTCCAGGCCACAGAAAGAGGGAGCAGTGCTGGGAAATAGTTTCCTCTGCACCTGCCAGAGACACTATTCCAGCTTCTTTCCAGTCCTTCAGTTCTCCCTCCGATCAGGCTCCCTGACAGCACCGGGGCAATAGACTTTCTAAAAATGTAAATAAATAACCCTGGCTTTGTTCTGAGCTTTGGAAGTTAAACAAAAAAACAAAAACCACTATGAGAAAAAAAAAAAACAAACCAACCACAAACCTGCAAGTAAACAGCCCTTGTGAAAGTTGAAGCTGCAGCAGTTAAAGTTCAGCAGTTATAAACAATGGGGGAAGTGAGAACTACCAGACTCCCTTGTGCCAGACATTTCTTTCACTTCTGTTTATTGTAACAGACAAAAGTAGATCCACGAACTGCATTCACTTTACAATATCTGCATCATATTTACAGGCATTTAAAGACAACTCTGCTTCCTGAAGTTGTCAGAGAAACCGGCTGCTCGTCACCCCACCAAATAACCTCAGCGTCCTCACCAGTTTCAGGCCAGCTGGGAGGTGATGGTACATGTTGGGCACCCCCAGCACCCCCCTCACGGGAGGTGCAGCCTGGCTGAACCCCAGCCAGTGCCAGTTTGACAGAAAACCATTGTCTTCCAGTTCCTCCCTTCCCCTGAGCCAGGGTTCACAGCGCAAGAGTCCTCACGCAACTATTCACAGGGTTGTGACAACGATGGCAGTTGCAAAGTCACACCTTTTATCAAATCAGTGCAGTTTTTATGTTAAGCCCTAAATACCCCTCTCTATAAACACTTAGATCATACTGGGTTAACGTGACAGGGATTTAACACACCTAAGGAACAGCCCCTGCCAAATAGCTCAGGGTTCCTCACAATTCTCCTTTCTGGTCCCCGCAGGCCGCCGCAGCGCCCCACCGCTGAACCTCACCGGTCTCCCGGGCACAGAGAAACTCAACGAGAAGGAGAAAGAGGTGAGGAAAGAAATGGAAAGATCATCTGTATAAAACTTCACAGCGCAGGGGGTTGCTCACTCAAACCACCTCTCCCAGGTGCTGTGAATACACCTCCTCTGCATGCCCTGACTACTCCTCCCTGCTCACAAAAGTCATTCAGGTTTTCCAGCTGGCTTCTTAATTTCAATTACTGCACTATACATACAACAGAGCTCCAGCAAATTAGCTTGTTCAGCAAAGACGAGCACCAAGGTGCTATTACGTGCTGCTATAACATCCCGCCTGTGACATCCTCTCTCCCTCCCTCGTCAGAGTGGGGTGAGCAGAAGGGTTATTTTTTCTTAATGAATGTTGGTTTTAAAACCAGCCGAGAATTTCATCAAGGGCTTCACTGGACAGATCACAAACAGCAGAGCTCTTTCCATATTACAGATATCTCACAGCCAGACCTCAACCAATTATGGTTGGCTTTTCACTGTTAGACTAACATGAAACACGGAGGCAATAACAGTATATTCATCTTTTCTTTTTTTTCCCCCATATTTCTGCTTTTCAATGCATACACCAAGTTTGTTTTATGCACATTATGGCTTTAAGTGATGGGTTTTAGCTTGGCCTGGTGTTGGAGTTCACAGCCCCACGTAGAGTGCTCTTGCACGGTCACCTAAAGAAACCAAAGGCTCAGTTCCTTCTGCAGCCCAGCCCAGGCCTGTCCTTCATTCAGTGAAAGGCAACGCTGGAAAACTATTGAAATAAGAGATTTTTTTTCATTTTTTTTTTACTAGAAGTCAATATCTGTCCTAAGATTGTCTACAAGGCAGATTGCCGTGTTGGTGAAACACAGATGCATTTCAGAGTTTTCCCTCTGCGTGGAAGCTGTTTCCCCTTCACTGGAGATGGCAGCATTGAAAATCAGATCACAGATTCACCGTGGAACATGGCATTTCTGGCTCCATTCAGCATATAAATAATTGTGCCTGGGACATTAGCGTGTACGGGGAATCTGATTTCCTCGTCAGCTGAGACATAAAGTCTGAGTTCCTCTGAATTCTGCAATTTCCTATCAATGAGGAACAATCATTAAGCATTTCTTATTAAAAGGAGGAGACAGCCAGTATCTCCACCGGGAGCGATCCAGTGCACCATCTAGAAGGCAGCTGGTGTTTGGGAGGGAAATGGGAGCGTGCCCCCCCAACAGCAGAGCACGGGGGCTTCTGAAAGCCCTTTTCCCTTTTGAAATCACTTCCTTTTCCCCAACTTCCAAAACCCCTGGGTGGTTTCCACCCTGGGCTTCCGGAGGGGGCAGGCGTTGTGTGCGTAGCTGCTTTTGTAGAAAGGTATTAAAGACTTAGTCTGCAGGGGATTAATAGACAGATGCCCTCCCTGGCACCCCTCCAGCGCGCTGAATTGCTGGTTGCGAGTCTCTCTGGCATGTGTACTTCCCTGGGTTTGTAAAGAACAACGCCCACACAGGACACACTCATCCTTACGCTCCTCTGAGCCCAGAGCCTGCTTTCATCCTCCTCCTTTATTTTTTTTTTTTTAAGTCAGGAATGTTTTTGAATGCAGCAGCCGGCAGGCTCCTCCCCTCCCTACCTGTGGATGGAGAGGGCTCCTAATGCAATCCCTGCACGCCTCCCCCGTACGAAAGAAAAAAAAACCACCAACACATTTCAAGTGTTTTCAGAAAAATACTCTCAACGTTACTCCCCCAACAGGGATCGCAGAATGAAAGCGCCTGACGAGCGTTAGTGTTTATTAACTTCACCTTTTGTTTTCCAGCTCTGTCAGATGGTGCGGTTGGTCCCCGGAGCCTATTTAGAATATAAAGCTGCCTTAGTGAACGAGTGTAACAAACAGGGAGGGCTGAGGCTGGCGCAGGCCCGGGCCCTCATCAAGATCGATGTGAACAAAACCAGGAAAATCTACGATTTCCTCATCAGAGAAGGGTACATCACCAAAGCCTGAGGACGGGCATCGGCGCTTCGGCCGGAGCGGGGAGATGTGGAGAAGCTTTGAAGTCACTTTGACAGCACCGAAATATTTTAACAGCGTTGAATGAAGGACATTTCTTTTTGTTTAACATCTTACGGGGCTTTTTTTTTTTTTTTTTGGTAAAAACAAGTAGGGAGCTATGTTAAATTGTATGAATACTGACATTTCTTTGTCTGGGTTCCTTTTGATTCTGCTGTTTAACACTGTTGTTGTCAGAATTATGCTGGAAAAGAGTCATACGCCATATAAGCTAATCTTAAATGTGAATGGGCATTCATTTCCAACACCTCTCGTAACTAAAAAGAGAATCACGGTACTTTTATGCTGACAGTGACCCAGAATAAGGGCAGAAGAGCAGCAGGTAATGAGAGTCACACTTTGACTTTGTGGTATAGAAACACTGTCCCCTCCCTTCTTGTACTCCTTCCTAAAACAGCGATGGCTTTCAAAGGAGGTAGCACATGCCCGAGGGTGTAAAAATAGAGCTCGCAGCGATCCAGTCGTTTTAACTTAATTGTGATAAAGGATGGGAAAGGACGTAGCAGGGAAGCTCCTCAACAGTTGTTACTTTTATGTGGTATTAGCACATATCACAGCGTGAGCACCCTGTACAGACCAATAAGCTTCATCTGCTCCCGACTGGATTTGGGATTGTCAAGTTATATATAGCCCCTTGGTTTCAGCCTGCGATGCTCGGGCTGGTTGGAAAGGCTGGATGTTACACCCAGAGCAGCCTCTCGGATCATAAATGAAGAGACGCTCCGTATCCCAGCGTTCTCCTCGGAAAAGATAAGAAGGGAAGAGAGCAACAAACTGCCCAGAGCCCTCCTCAGCCCTGCCTGCCCTCCCTCAGGTTACCCCATGAATGGCGGCGTGACCAACAGAGCAACGACGAGGTGCAACAAGTTCCTACACACACACACACACCACCCCATCACGTCGGATGATCCATCGTACGACTTCAATACAAAGCATTTGTGTTTCAAAATACAGTTGGATGATGAAGACGGTTCTTTTCAGATGCAGCTTGGGATGATTCACTAAACTCTTTATCAAAACAGCTTCCACTGCTGCGTACAGCTGAAGTAACACCCCATCAGTAACCAACAGCCCAAGCAGGCGGGATATTGGGTCATCTCAAGTTTGGGATCTGGTGGAAAAGCCTGAGCTAGAGCTAGACTGATACCTGTTTAAGGTGTTTAGGTTTGGGGCTGGGTTTTTTCCCCCCACGAGTAGGTATCCTGCCTACCCGAATTGAATGTGAAGTGTTTTGGTTTGTAATAAAAATCAAAATGTCTTGAAACAATCTTCCATCCACGTCCCTGGGCTCCAGGAGAGACTGTAAAGGTCGTGCAACTGCCTGTATCTGTACCCATCAGCTTCTCACCACGAGAGATGAGATAAATCACAACGGTGGCTGGATGGATCTGACCACTGAATTAAATAGGAATATTTTCTAGGTAAAGACGAGCACCAGTAATAAATTACACACTGAAGATTAAAGTCCATAGAAATTGAGGCTGTATAGGCTGGGAACACCAACACTTGACCATCCATGGCCATGCACACCCTGCTGAGGACACCGGCTGTCTGAGCCAGCGACCCGTCACCACAGATGCACCGATGGCAGGATTTTGGGTACAAATCTGAACTGATTGTAGCACCAGCTGGGGCCAGATGGGCTGGCAGGGAGGGGGGACCGGGACAGGGACCTCTTCACCCAAGAGCTTTCAAAGCATTTCCAATAAAATCAAACCCAGCGAGCAGACACCGAGCTCAGCTGCCGCTGGTTTTAAAACGGGGCGTCCTTTCTGCAGGAGGCTCCTCCAGGGCAGAAGGGCTCCAGCCAACCCCAACAGATCCCTGTCCCTTCGGTGACAATCGCCACCGGTGCTTCCTCCCTCCACGCTCCCCAGCACCATTCAAGAGAGAGGAAAGGAGACCCAGTGCTTGGACACGGCGTGATCCCTCTCCCCATTGCTTCTGTCCCCCTCCCAGCTGGGTGGGTGCTGCCGTGGCCCCTCTGAACCATTTTCTGACACATGGGGAAGGTGCTTTTGGGGAGAAAAGCCGTTCCCCGAGCTCCTGGCTGCCTCTCTGCCACACCGGTCCCTCCTCCTTTAAATCCCGGCTCCTCTCCGACTCCTCACAAAATGTCTCCGTCGCCGCCTGCCAGACCCAGCTCCAGCCTCCCCTGGCACTGTGCAAGTAATTAACAATAATGAAAAGTTGGGGTTGCCATGGATATGCTGTTCTATTTACAACGCACATCTCCCCCCCACCACCCCCCCTCCTTCCCCACATCGCCCAGACCCGCACAGACACCCGGGGAAATCAGAACCCCATTCACCCCCTCGGCGTGGGGGTTTATTTTTAAGCAGGATGCTGTCGCAGGCAGGAGGGAGGCCGGGGGCAGGACAGTGGCTGCTCCTGCCCCACCACCCACCACATCCTCCTGCTGATGCTGGAGAGGCAGCACCTGGGGTTTCTCTGCTGCTCTGTCCTCACCCAGACAAGGAAAAGGAGAAGGAAACCCAATGAAAGCGCTTTTTTTTCAGATACATCAAACTAACTGGTCATGAATTCGCCATTAAAAAAAAATAAAACAATATAGACAGTCCCCACACACCATTTTTGAGAACTTTTCTGCTATCAGGCCTTCGCTTCAGACCCTGCTTTGGGAGAAGTGATAGTTTTTGGGGGAAGGGGGGTGGAAATAGAGAAAAAAAATAAAAAGATAAAGAGAAAACAAAGGGGAAAAAGTCAGCCCGGGGGTTGTTTTTGGTGGGCTGCTGTGCAGGTCTCGCACACCCGGCACTCCAGGAACGCCAGCCCTCGTTAGTCCACCGCGGGCTCTCAGCTAAGGATTGCAGTTGGCTTAATTAGAGACTCAGGTGAACATGAAAGATTAAATATGGAAGGAGGCTGGGGACAGGCAGGAAGGCGGCCGGTTGGGGTTCATGTGCCGATACAGGTACCTGCAGAATTAATTACGGCGGGACCCGGGCAGCGCAGGGGAGGATGTCGCTGCTCCGTCCCAGCACCCTCTTAGTCACCACTAATGGCCGTGGCAGGAGGTATGTGAGGTATGAATCTTTCTTCGGGGCCGTCTTATTCGCCTGTCATTAAAAAGCATCAGCAGGGAGGGGGGGGGAAGGTTGGCTTTTTTTGGGTCTGGCAGCTGCCGTCACACCGGCAGCAGACGCACTCGGCCCCTGGGTGACTCAGCCCCGGGGAGGGAGGTGGGGGCTGCCGTAGCACATCCCGGGGGCTCACGCCGCCCCCGGCACATCACCGGGCTCCCCCGCTCCCCGGTAACGCCGACCGGGAAGGCACAAGCAGCTCTAGTTTTAGTGCCTGCTCGAATTCCCATCAGGTGGGGCCGGTGAAACCTAAACCGGCTCCTTTGGGAGACCAACCACCCCGGCGCTGGAGCGGCAGCTTTTTGGCTGCGGTTACAGAAACCCCAGAGCCGCCCTCCCGCCCGGCGCGACACGGAAAAGGGAAAAATCCCAACCACCCCGCGATGCCCCATAGCCATCTCCTTCCTCTGCTCCACCAACAAACTGGTTGGGCCGCCTTCCGGGAACAGCCAGCAGGGATTTAACGAGCGAGTGCGCGCCCCGGCACGAGGAAAGCACACACACAAACACACAAACACACACACACACACACACACACACACAAACACACACACTTCCACCCTGATGGAGATGCCAGGGAGAGAACACAAATGTCTGCAGCCCCCCATCCCGCCTGGCTGCTCCCCACAGAGCCAAACCTGCTTCCCAAGGGAACCACAGGCCAGAGCACCCATCCCAGCGCCGGGTCAGGACCCTGTGGGAACCGAACGGGTGACAATGGAGTAGGAAAGAGCATGAGAAACCCAAAGAGGGGGTCAAGCACAAGCCCAGAGCACACATGGTGCCCAGTTTTTGGGGCCCCTGTGGTATGGGAGCTGTTCGGCAACACCAGCTCCGCTTTTGCACCAAAGAAAGCAACCTGGCATCCCTTGAGCTTTCTGTACAATCACAGAATGGTTTGGGTGGGAAGGGACCTTAAAGATCATCCAGTGCCACCCCCTGCCCTGGGCAGGGACACCTCCCACCAGACCAGGTTGCTCAAAGCCCCGTCCAACCTGGCCTTGAACCCCTCCAGCCAGAGCTTCTCTGGGCAACCTGGGCCAGGGTCTCACCACCCTCAGGGTAAAAAAAGTCACTAATGTCTCATTTCTTTTGCAAGGCCTGTCTGGAAAGTCAATGTCTCATGAACCAGCACCTGCAGGCACCAGCCCTCCCTAACCCTTCCCATTAAATGGGATGGGGATGCGAGGTTGGAGCACCCCCGTGCAGTGCTGGTGGGGCAGGCTCTGCAGGAGCGCGCTGCGGGCTGGCCTTCCAGGAGATGTTTGAGGTCATAGAGTCATAGAATGGTTTGGGTTGGAAGGGACCTTAAAGACCATCTCGTTCCAACCTCCTGCCCTGGGCAGGGGCACCTCCCACCAGACCAGGTTTCTCAAAGCTCTGTTCAACCTGGCTTTGGACACCTCCAGGGATGGGGCAGAGACCCCAGCTCAGCTGCTCAGACGGGAAGGAAGGAGATGATCTGCTGGGCCACGTCAGCCCATCAGCCCTCACTTCCCAGCCTGGCCACAGATCCTGTCCCTGAGGTCAGGGAAGGACACGGAGCATCACCCGCCAGCCCGGCTGGAGGCACACGCCGTGGCTCGGCCTCGTGTGGCCACACAACCCCGTGACTCAGCGGGAGAGCGCCCGGATGACGCTCACCCCACCTTCCCCAGACCAAACGGCACCCCAGCACCCCTCTGCACCCCAAGGGAGCTGCCAAAACGCAGCCCATACCATGGGGTCCCTGCCCAATGCACCATCTTTGCGCCCCCACTGTCTAACAAGGGGCTGGTCGGTGAAACGAGGGGACCCCTCAGTGCAACACACACACGCAGAGCTGCTTCCCGTGACCCTATAGAGCCCACAGTCACCTATAGCAGAGGGAAGACTGGCCTTGGGGGACGGTGCCATCCTCCACAGCCCCAGGAGCCCAGCTGGGAGCCAGCAGGGATGCCCAGGTTGCCGGGGCGAGGCAGGAGGGTGGCCCCGCTTGTGACTAAGCCCCTGGCACGTGTGGCTCCCCGCAACCGGGCGCAACACACCTGGGCTACAGCAACCCTTCCCGCTTCACCCACCGGCCCCGTGAATCAGAGCACCCCGTGGGCTGGGAAGGAGTCACGCACCCTCGCAGCCCCGACACCGGGATCTGCCCCTGCACGGGGGGGGACCCGGCCCGTGGGCTGGGATGTGCCACCCTCTCCGCTGCCTGCGTCACTGGAAAACCCACAAAACTCCTGCCGGGTTGTGACATCCCTCTGCCTCCCCAGGGAGGCCACCGGTGACCCACATTTGGCCACTCCAATCGCACGTGGTGACCTAAAAGTCGGGGTTTCGTTTTCCCCACCACCAGCAGTAAGGAGCAGCAGCCTGAGCGCCTGCTGGGGCATCTCTGCTCCGCGCTGTCACCTCACATCCAAGGAGAGGCACCCGATGGCTCTACGGCTGGGTTTATCCCCAGGAGATCACTCGCCACCTCCCCCAGGGTCCCTGCTGCCCCCAAACCACCCCACAGCTCCCCTGGGACGCTGCAACGGTGCCGTTCAGTGATGGTGGGACCATCAGTGCCTGTTGCTCAGGGGTCAAACCCCTCGGGGATGCAATCGTTGCTACCAAAAACCAGGAGGTCCCACATCCCTGGGCTTTTTGCATCACGCGGGGACCTTATTTTTTTTTTTTTCTTTTTTTTTTGCATCACGCCGTGCAGGCGGCCGGAGGCGGGGAAGAGTAAACTCTGGCGTAGCCATGGAAACTGGAGAGGATGGATGGGTGGATGGATCCCTGCACACCCGTGGGGGAAAGCCACCATCTCCTCCCCACTCAGCCCGGCCGTGACCCTGCAGCTGCCCATCACACGCTGCTGATCACAGAGCGTGGCAGGAAAACACCCCGGTGATTAAGCTAATAACCCTAATGACCAGCTAATGGACTGCGGGCCAGACGCACCCTTCGGGAATGTGCCCAGGACTGCACCTTGCTGTGCTTCACCCCAGCGTGTGTCTGCCAGGCTGGGCTGCCAGGAGTGGGGTTTGAGCCCCTCCATTGCCCCCGAGGTGGGTTTGAGTCCCTCCATTGCCCCCAAAGGCAGCGTGGGGTGCCGGAGGCGGGGAAGAGTAAACTCTGGCGTAGCCATGGAAACTGGAGAGGATGGATGGGTGGATGGATCCCTGCACACCCGTGG